TCATTTGAGCCCAGTTTTCCTCCTGCCCAGGCAGGGGGTTGGACTTGAAGATCTATAAGGTCCCTTCTGACCCTACTTCTATGATTCTATGATAAGAAAGGAAGGAAAGAAGATCCAGGGAAATACAGGCCAATCAGTTTGACCTCAATCCCTGGAAAGATCTTGTAAAAAATCATTAAAGAAAACCATCAGAAACAGGCTAACGGAAGGCAACATTCTGAGAGAGAGCCAACATGGCTTCATTGTGGGTAGGTCTTGCCTAACCAACGTCATTTCCTTCTATGACCAGGTGATGTATTACCTGGACAAGGGAGAAGAGGTTGATGTCATATACTTAATTTCAAAAAAGCCTTCAACTTGGTCTCCCATGATGTCTTCATGGCAAAATTGGGGAACTGTGGCCTCAACAACCTTACAGTCTGATGGCTGGGGAACTGGCTCTGTGGTTAGACCCAGAGAGTGATAGTCGATGGAACTGAGTCAACGTGGCACATGGTGACCAGTGGCATCCCCCAGGGCTCAGTACTTAGACCAGTACTCTTCAATATATTCATTAATGATCTTGATTCAGTTGTCAGAAGTAGACTGGCTAAGTTTGCAGACGACACTAAATTAAGGGGAAGTGTGGTCACATTAGAGGATAGGCTGGCAATTCAGGCCGACCTGGACAGGCTTACAAGGTGGGCAGATCCTGCTGGCATTCAACATTCAATTCTATTATTGCTCCAGAGTTATGAGCCCAGACTATGGATTCAGGCCAGAAGTTGCCTCAGCTATGAGTGGTCCCGCATCATTTGGGCTGAAGAGTCAAAGGCAACTATATGTGATGGTCATTACACTTGTGTGCCCTTGGCTACAGAACCTGCTAGGTCTCAGCCATGTTGCCTGTGAGCTGGTTGACTTGTAAACAGATCATGTGTCACCATACTACAAGGTTAAAATTCAGCAGAGGCAACTGAGAGCCCCCAGAGCCAATTTGTTTTAACACCTGGGAAGGCCACTATGTATCCTCCATAGACATAGCACAGAGCTCATTCAGGATCTGAGAGAGGGGATGAAGTAGGTGCTGTTTTTGTTTTCCACAACAAGTTGTAGTGGGAACAGACTGTACCTTTAGTTAGGCTGGTGGGGATCATAGTGCCATATTCTCTGCTGGTCTGTCCTCAGGCCTTAATCTCAAATCTTTTATTGCTGCCTTGATCTGGCAGGGGGAGTCAGTGATTGTGGTCTCAGGCATTTTGATATCCCTCCAGGCTATTCTTTCTCGTGACCACCTCTGGGTAGTTGAAGCCAATTAGTTTTTCCTGTTAATAACGTATTAAGTGGGCACGGGTTGGCTCATTCTGGTTTTGCTGTGTATAAAAACTCCATATGCTCCTGTGTGCCATTCCACAGCATTGCATCCTCTTCCTTGTTCACCTGTAATAGTGCAAGGCAGACCTGGTAGAGAGCAGAACTGGGATGAAATGGCTGAACTGCCTGGGACAGAATTAACCATTGACCCAGCACACTGCAGCGGCAGGTTCACCATAAATACCCTGATCAGCACTGAGGACAGCAGCAAGCCTCGTTACAGGTTCCCAGATGCCACTACCTACGACACCACCCAGGCCACCCACCTCTCTCACAACAGCACTTTCTACATGAGGACTTTTGGCTACAACACCATTGATGTTGTCCCTGCCTATGAACATTATGCCAACAGTAAAATCTTAGGTGACGCCAGCAGAGTTAGGCCTACGCTGGCAGACCTACATTCATTCCTAAAGGTAAGGCAGGATGATTATCTTCACTTGGCAATATAGAAGGCATCTCAAGGGTTACCTGGTCCAATCCCCTGCAGAAATGTAGGCTGTGTTATTCCTGAACCATCCCAGATGCATGCCTCTGGCCCAGGGGCAGGCAATTATTTTGGGCAGAGGGCCACTTACTGAGTTTTGGCAAGCCATCAAGGGCCCTATGACAGGCAGCCCAGGGCAGATAAATACTAATTTTCTAAATTTTTTAGGGGCCCCACAGGCTGGGTAAAATGGCCTGGCAGGCCGCATCCAGCCCCCAGGCTGCATTTTGCCCACCCCTGCTCTAGCCTTTTCTGGAAAACTTCCCATGAAGGAGATTCCATAGCTTCCCCAGGCAGTGTCCTGCTGTTTTAACAGAACATTTGATATTTTTTTCCTGATGCTTAATCTAAATCTGCTTTGTTGCAGT